GGTGCTGTTGCCATTGGTGAGTCTGCAATGGCACATCGTGTTGATGTACCTGCCGGTGCTGCTGGTTGCTGTGCTTGAAGTTGTGGCTGTTGTGTTGTGTCTGCTCCAAAAGCTTGTGTGCCTGTTTCTGCAGTTGCTGGTCTCCTCATTGGCTTGTAGACCAGTGGTGGTTTTGAAACGTATGGTACACCAGTGGTGTATGGGAGTGTTGGTGATCTGTTGATCACGTCCATCAGTTGCTTGTTGTACTTTTCTGGTGCTGGAAGCCTTCTGATTGTTCGTGCTCGAACAACCTTGTTGGAAATCCCAATGAGGTTCTCATTGGATGTTGTGTCTTTACCAAGCCATATGCCTGGCATGAAGCGCTGTTCCATCTTTGGAATGACTGCTGAGTTTGGCAACATATAAAGAACTGTTTCACCAAACTCACAGAGTGGTGTTTTGTGTTCTTTATGCCATCTCCTGAAGAAGCTTGTGTTGCCATCTGAATGTATGGCATACCTGTTGAGCAGGTAAGCTGTGTGTCTCACCATCCATGCTACGATGGGATGTTTGCTTGTAAGTCTGATGTCGTAGTTGTTCTGCAGTTGGGACTTCAGTGTTCTGACTTGTCCCATGAGTGTTCTGTGAAAGCGTTCGACGCTGCCTTGTGCTTGTGATGTGTATGTTGGTGCTTGTCGAACTGTGATGTTTCCTCCCATCTTAGCTGCTGTTGCTCTGAGAAGTGCTATGAGGTGATCCTCCTGATCTGACTGTAGGATTGTGCTGTTGAGTACAGCTTGTACTCTGCCACACTCCATGAGGAATGTTTGTATGCATTGGACGTGATATTGAAAGTCTGCTGTCTTGCTGTTGACAAGAACTGCCATGCTCATGCCTGTTTCCACGTCAATGCCTGTGAGGATTGGTGTTGTTTCCTTTTCTCCAAGTGTTTTGAAGAAACAAAAGTCGAATTGTACGACTGGTTGTTTGCTGTGTTGTCGTGGGTGGTTGTCTGCTCGTCCTTTGTTTTGAACACATGTTGGACACCAACTCCTGTAGGGAAGGTGTGTGAGTTCATGTTCAGCACGCTCTTGTGCTGTTGGCTGCTCTGGTGCTTTGATGCCTTTTGCTGTTCTGGCATCTAAATGTTCTTCCTCATCGATGTTGTAGTACTCCTCTTTGAACGCCGTGCTCTCCTCAAAGTTTGTTGAACCTGTCCATGTGAAGTTCATTGTTGCTGAGGTCTTTGTTGTCCAGTCATCATCAATCCTGTATCCTCTGGCTCCTGATGTTGGCTTAACTATTGTTTGTCTTTGTGGCAATAGCTTTGTGACATCTGGACCATCCATTGTTTGTTGTGGGATGTAAAGCTGAGTCCGTTGTTGTACATGGACTCTCTTCCAGTACTGTCCTTCTTTGATCCAGTAGTCTGCTGTTGCTGGTGTGTCCTTTGGTCCTGGAACTGCTGTTCCTGGATATGCTTGTTGCTTCATGGGCTGCTGTTGCTGTGGTACCAAAGGTTGTTCCACTGGCTTCTTCTCTCTGTGTCGAACTGCTGATCCTGTAGGCTGCTGAGCTTGTTGCTGCTGTTGCTGTGTCGTTGCCTTGGCTGCCGATGCCTTTGGTGTTGCTGATGCTGGCGCTGAAGCTGCTGTTGATGCCTTGGGCAACGGTGGTGCTGGAGGCTTTGTTGTCTCTTTGACTCTGAACCATGTTTCTCCTGACCATGCTGGTCCTGGAAGTCTTCTGTTCTGTCGTTGTTGTGGAAGGTCTTTGTATTTGTCCTCAAAGTCCTCAAGTGTTCCATCTGGCTTGTATGCTATTGTTCTTCTGTAGTTGTCCAGCTGTTCTTCTGGAACTGGACATTGTGCATCTGGTGTGAAGAGTGCCTTCCTTGTTCTCTTGTGTACCCTCACCAGATATCCTGTGCTGTTGTATATCCAAATGTCGTTGTTGTGTGTGACCCATTCAGGTCCTGTTGGTGTAATTGTCACTGGGGACACTGTTGCTCGAATGCCATGTGACGTCTCACATATGTCAAGCTTCATGTTGCTTGGCATTGGGCTGATGTTGACTGTAAGAAAATACAGTCCTTGTTGTTGCTTCAGTGTTGCTTCAAAGCCGTTGGTGTTGGTGATTGTTGGGTGATCGCTAAGCTGGATGTTGAAGCCCTGTGATGCCAGTCTTGTTACTGACAAAATGGGTTGTGACACGTCACACACATAAAAGGGTATGACGATCGGTTGTTGCTTGTTGTTCTTCATGTACACCCATTTGTAGCCATAGACTGTGATGTCTTCCTCTGTTGCTGTTGTGAGTCTTGGGCCTTGTTCTGGGTGAAGTTCATATGTTCTGTATGTTGGAGCAAACCATGGTGGGCAAACATGTGTTGCTGCTCCACTGTCAATCATCAAATCTTCTGTGGTGTTTGCCGGTTGCTCAGTTGCTGGCCGCTGCTTGTTGGACTGCTGTATTGAAATGGCTGCTATGTGGAGTTGTGGAACTTGCTGTTCCTGCGCGCTTGTTGGTGGGAGTGCCAGTTGTTGCTGTGGCAGTGCGCTGACCTGTGTTTGGTCATCATTCCACCATTGGCCGTCATAGTACTGTTGTTGTTGATACCATTGGGTTGTTGCATCATCTTGCCAATGGCCAGTGTATGTGTTGGTTGCAACCTCATTGAGGTTGTGTACTGCCACACGGCAGTCTCTTGCTATGTGACCTGGTTGGCCACATCTGTAGCATCCTTGTGTTGGGACCCCTTTTCCTTTTCCTGTTGGCTTGCCTTTGCCTTTGCCTATGTACCCTCCTTTGTTGTTGGATCCTTTGGGCTGCATTCCTTGCCCAATCTTTCCTTTGCCTTTGTTGTATCCGTAGCCATATCCTTTGCCTTTGTTGCTCTTGTTCTTTCCTTTTCCTTTGTTGGGCTTCTTTCCTTTTCCTTTGTTGTACTTTCCTTTGTATCCTTTGTTGACAGCTCCAATGTCCATAGGTGCCGGTCCTTCTTGGGCGTGTGTTGAGACGCTGGATGTCCCAGGTTGCTGGTGTAGCCTGCTGAGGGCTGTGGTGGCTCTGTAATATTCCATGATTGTTTCACGTACCTCTACGTATGTTGGTGTTGCTCCTGCATTCAAGTGCAGGTGTTGTTGCAGTGGGCCTGATGTCTCGTTCATCAGGACTGCAATTTTGATTTGGTCTGGTAGTGCTGTGTTGTTGTCTCTCTCATACCTTGAGAGCTCGAATTCCCAGTTGGAGAATGACTCCTCGAAGTTGTTGCTGTCAAATGTTGGCTTGAGCAGCTTTGTTAGGTACCCTATGCTTCTTGTTCCTAATGGTATGGCAAACCTGTTGCTGAGCTGCCTGTAGGTCTCAAGTCCCATCTCATGTTGATACTGTCTGCACACTGTTGCTGCAGCTCCTTTTTCCACGTTCACAAGTATGTACTTCAAGTTGTTGTCTAGTTGTACCCATCTGTCGGCTTCCTCCATGTTCTGTGCTGCTCCTCTCAAGTCTGCTTCTGTAAGTCGTTGTGTGGATGTTGCTGCACGTCGTAGGATGTTGGGGTAGAATGGGTCCATGAGGCCCATGTATGCTGTGAATTTGTATTTCCACTCCTCAAATGTGGAATAGTTGCCATCGTATGTTGGGGGCTTGAGTTTGAGCCGGTGTGTTGCTGCCAACGCTTCTGTCTGATCCTCTAGTGGTGCTGTTGGTGATGCCGCCATTGTTGCTTTGTAAAGTTTTGTTGAAGCTCCTCCAATGTCTTGGGATCAAGGCTTCTCCCTGTTGTCAGAGTGTTGTTGTTCAGCTGCTGCTTCCTCTGTTGTCTGGTGTGTTGTTTGTTGGGTGTTGTGCACAGTAATTGTTGAGAGTCCCCCAGTGTTCTGGGATCAAGCCCTCTGCCTGTTGTTTACTGCTGTTGCTTGGAGATGCCCCTGGTAAGGCAGAGCTCCGCTACCATGTAAAAGTGCGAGATGTTTCAAGCACTGTTGTCAAGCTGCAACTGTTGGCACCTTTTGCTGTTGCACGCACTCAATCTGTATGTTGTCAACAGGAGTTGACTCAAGGCCTTGAACCACAGGCCAGTGTTGATATGACATGTTGAATATGTACATTGACAATATCAACCAATATCAACCAAAACCTCGCTAAAACGGCTACAGCCTCTGTGGCTGCATGGGCGTCATGATGGGTCTCAGCATACTTTGCAAGTTCTTTGTTGCCTTGGATGGCAGGGCTAAGAACTATTGGTATCCCAAAATGGGATGTGTCATGATGCTTCCATTTCATGAAAAAATCATGCCGGTTCTCTATACCCTTGAAACGATCATTTTCTATTGTTTCAAGATCGAAATCTTTAACGATCCTAGCAACAAGCTGCAGTCTGAGCCAGCCGGACTGGCCGCGAGTTGGGCTCCTCCTCCACATCCTGTTTTTCAGCTGGCACAAATGGTAGTGGAATTCGTTTAGATCTGTGAACATCCACAATGACCCGGCTACTCAAAATGAATCAACTAAGATTGATTCTGAGAATCGCCCGGTTTGAAGAGGAAAGTAGTCTTCCAGCCCACATTTGACAGGCTCTCTGTGTTCGTTGGGTGGAGGGTACTTCTAACAGATATGATTTCATGTCATTTCATGTCCATATGTCCTATGACCTTGATATGCAACAATAGAATTCAATAGAACCTCATTTTTTCGCAACGGATATGATGGATATTGGCTTCGAATTTGGGCGGTTTCAGCCGCGCGACTCCCCTTTTTTAGGCTGCGCCAGTTTCGGCGGAAAATTATGGACAATTGCACTGCAAGGTGCTTTGCACTCCCCATTAACTGATTTCGATGACATTGAGCATTGACTCGACCATTTCGATGACAGAATCGCTGATCATCACCGATCGCTCCCAAAAGCATCTTTCCGATCAGAAAACCATCGAACAAATGCCATCATGCGATTCAATGTCAAGATCCGTCACAGCACTTTGTACTCATTAAAACACCTTGAAAACAGGTGCAGGATGTCACAGGCGCGAGATTGTGAATCTTTGAAGGATGGCCTCAACCTGGTGACCAGTGCAGTTTCATTCCATCGCCGGGCTGCATCAGCCCTTCCCATGTTCTGCCATTGTTCTGCCACGTTTTTCTTGGTGAAAAGGAGATTAAAACATGATGAACCAAAGAATGATTGACCCTCTGCAGTTCTTAAACCATCCAAATCCAAAGGTCCTGTTGAGCAATTTGTACCAGTGGTATCCAGTGGCCTGTGGTAGGTTCCTTTGCTTTGCCAAGGAGATGGCACTCTTTCCTGAGGCGGATCATGGCTGCAACATGAAGAACGATGAGGGGAAAACCATGGAAAACACACGCAAACATAACCTGCAATGATGTTTACAATATATTATAATGATTTATAATGAAATTATACATATACATCAGTGCAGAACTATTCACAACACATTCTCCCATAGTGGTCACCAAGAAGACACTAATAAACTATCCCAAACATCTTGTTTCTGACTTTGACTTGTTGACATACTCATTTTTCACTGTTAACCTAATGTTTATATATGTTTATACAGCTTTAATTATCAAGTTTTATCGGTTAATACTATAATATACTATAATAATCATACCCAATTGTGCATCATTTTATATCATTTTATACAATTCTCAAACAGGATCAACAGAGGTCAAGTGGGTCTCCACATTCATCGAGAATCCATCCTTGTTCTCTGCACTCGGGTCAGCTCTGGCAGCACACAGCCGCTCGACCTTGCCATGCTGGCAATTGCTGGCAATTGCTGGCATGTTGAGGTGTACCAAACTAACAATACCAGAGGCTGGCAGCTACATCAGCTTCTAACATCTTCTAACCTTACATCTTACTACATCTTACTACATGTTAAGTAAGTCTTACTACCATTAACATCTGCTACCTAGCAAGGCGTTTAAAATGGACACGTTTTCGAGTAGCGGCGCCTCAGACATCCCGTCGACTAAAATGTAGACGAGCAACGAAGACCAGGTGAACTTCTGAATCTTGCAGGCCATGCTCATGCCAATTCCCATGCCCTGCAACCAGTTGTATTGGGCTGAGACCCTTTCGCCTGTCCTCAGCAACATTCGCTGGGAGAAATGGACGGATCAGTGAGGTACATTGTGGTAAACTTATATGGTTGTGGTGCAAAAAACTCAACCCCTGAAAATTCTTGAAGCACTAACAGAATGGTCATGCCTTGGTTGATGTTCACCTGCACATGCCTGGACATGTTCGGGAAAATGGCGCATATTTGGCATGTTTGGCATGTTTGGATCTGTATCCACATTTCATAATAATTATGAGTTCATCAGGCATCACCAATCTGACACTTTGGTGCACCTCAATCTTTCAGATTCAAGGTTTCGCAGAGGTCCAACGTGCAAAACCAAGTGTCGATTGCATCCAGTGGCACCTTGTTGGAAAGCAAGTCCAAACACTTCAAATAACGCTCTGGGTGGTCCTTCCTTGGTGGCTCGGGCTCATCTGGATGGGAATGACGTGCCTCCATGCATGTGAACGGATCTATAATGATCTATACATCAGGAACCAGGACCCCGACTAAAACAATAGTCGCTGGGGATCCTTCCAGTGGGACATACTGATACTACCAATCGCTTCCCGGTAGGGTCTCTCACAGAATTTCATCTCCAGCAGAGCGACGGAAGATTCAAGATTCCCAAGCAAAGAAGGTGCAGCAAGTTGTTGCCAGAGCTTGTCGTCACAGAGGAAAGTTCTTTGTTGTAATTGTCCAGCAAGGCTTCCAAACCCCTGCGGTTTTGTGAGGTGAACGGTTGAGTCGGCTTGAGATCACTTCAGGGTGTTCATGGCTATGGGCTTGGGGGATGCTTCGAAACATGGTTGTCGAGTTGCTGTCCCACGAGCCTCAAGATCTTCAAGTCTTCAACATTCTTTCTTTACCACCTTTTTCATCTTTTTTCTGTGCCTGCTGCTTTTTCCATTTTTTCCCTTTAAGTCGAACACATCCACAAAGCGACTTGCTGAGTGACTTGCCTCTGGTATCCACCAAATGCTGCCAGCTGCAACTCATGCCCTGTCACACGTGCACCCTTTGTCACCAGCCAGCGCACCATTGGGCCCTGGCGAATCTGGCGAGGTGGCTTGGGAAGCTGGGCTTAGAAAGTTGGCCCGTTGGCTTTTCATGTGCTCTACTTACAACTTGTACAACTTCTATTGAACCACCTGATACATCGTGATACTAGAAAAAAACATGAAAAAACCACTCCCAATTCCTGGCATGTATGACTCGAATCAAATCAACATAAGTCAAATTCATACAGCACCAAACCTGAAAAATGTCCAGCATTCTGCGGGTGGATCCTGTTCCCTTGGCGAACTTGTCCCCGTACCTGGTCCGACAAGGCGGCGTAAACCAAGACCGACCAACCAAAGGGCGTCTCAGCATGCACATCAGCCTTGTAGCCTTGGAGGGGTTGTTGAGGGCCAGACTGAGAGAACCAAGGCACACAGACACATCACACACACACACTAATACATACATACATATATATATATATAATATAGTATGGTCAACTAATAGTTGTATATAGAGTGTCACAGTTTCATTGTTGGGAAGGTTGGTGTCAGTCAAATACCCATCAGCTACATTTGTTTATACACGTATGTACTGTAATATACATATAAATAATCACTATATATATAATTATATATATACGTATATTATATACACACCTATATTACATACGTGTACAACACGGATAAACATATGTAGCTGATGGGTATTTGACTGATACCAACATTCCCAACTGTGTAACTATGAAATTGTGACACTGGAGGTGATACTGGAGAGGCTCATACTTTATATACTCATCCAACCCGCAACAGGAAAGGCCCCACAAGCGTCACTTCAAGCGGCTCACCAGCAGTTCAGCTGCTTCAATAGATCCTCCTTTGGCCGCAAACATCAAAGGAACCGCTCCGACATAGTCTTCCTGCGGGAAAATGCCAGAACCTGTCGCATGAACATTATTCATCATAATTCCATCAGAATTCATCACAAAGCCATCAAGATTAATCTGTCAATAGAACCCGCTGCTGGAGGCTGAGAATAGAATCCTCGATCGCACGCGAAGGCAACTCAATCAAGAGGCGCTGCAACTCCTCTGTGAAGTCGACAGAAGATTGAAAAGTACAAGCAGAATGTTGGTATCATCAAGCCCAGCAAGTCAAGTCCTTTCCCCATTTCCAAAGTTCTCAGTGAGTTGGTGTCACGAGGGGCCGCATAATTCGTGCAATTTTTATCATTAAATATTCTGCTTGAGCATCCCATTCTCGGATCTTTACTATTGATTGCTTTGTTTAGCTGTTTCCCATTTAATATGAAATATGAAAGACATTAAGTGAACCAATAAGAACACCAGCAAACCATCATAAACCCTCATTGAATCCTCATAAACCCTCATAAACCATTGTATTTCTTCTTGGGGTCCGAACCTTAGTCCGAGCCTTACTGAGTAGTTACTCGTTTTTTGCCCAGTGCCGCCTTGACATCTCCCAGCTCCGCAGCCGCTGCCACTTGCGTCTTCACTCGCTTCGGGATCCGACCACCGAAGGGCCGCAGCAGCTCCTCATAGACCTCGGAGAACGAAGAGGGGATGATCGGATGGGGATGAGCAATCCAGGTCAGCCAGGTCAGCTGACAATCAAAGATTGGTGTAAGACTTGTAAGATCTTGTAAGATGATGTTGCAATTTGTTGGAATTTGTCCTGGTATCAGTGTGATCGTTCTACCAGAACCATCTCGTTCTGCAAGCAGTATGTTCCATGTTTTTTCTTTGGTGCCAAGTACTATCAATAACGTACCCATCGGTATGGCCTGTGCAATGAAATGGTTTCCTCGTAAGTGGTTAGTGCTGTCAAAACAAGTTTAAGAAACTCAAACACTTAAGATAAAACATAGTTATGCCTATAATTGCCTATACATGTAAACCACGAATCGACATAACTTAAGCATGAATATTCATAAATCAAGCAGAATTTTGGTCTGAACACTCTGAACACAAGGTAATTACCTCATCCAAAATCCAATGGATCATGGATGATCTTTTCCCATTTGTTCCATTTTTTTCCCCATAAAGATTTAGCTCTTCAACAAGGTGCTGCAGCAATGGCCTGAAAAAGGCTTGTGGCAGCAGAACGCTCCGCCTGTGGGAAAATGAGGAAAATTCCGCATAAGCAATGCATTGCGTATCATAATGATTCATAATGTATCATATGGCTATGGCTCAAAGAAATTCAAGAAACAGATATGGATGATATGGATCGCTACACGGTGATCCGGACGTGTGGAACGAAGGAGTTATGCAAATGATCTCAAATGAATTCTATCTCTTCAAAAGGGTATGGATCGGGGGTATGGATCGCCTGTGCATGCGGGGTATGGATCGGGACCTTACATTTTGAGCTGCAGCCATATCAGTGATTGCTTGATATATTGCAACATACATCTATCATATTTTATCATGCCATCAAATATGATCCTTACACGGTTCGATTAGCCGAATATACATATACATTGGAACAATCTGAAATTATAACTCACTCACATCCATCCAATAAATGTATACAAAATGATGACAAATGTGTGTAACAGCAGCTCCTCCAGACCCTTGACCCTTGTATTCCTCACAACCACGTGCTGCCTTTGGGTGCTTGTCCGGGTGATACTTCAAGGCCAATCTCAGGTAAACCTTTCGGAGCTGCGCATCATCGCAGGGCAGGAATGGCTCGAACAGCGCACGAGCCTCCTGGTGGATGCTGAGGCACCAAATCACCCCACCAGGAAGTTACTCAGCCGGAACCTCCGGGATTGGTATAGGATTTCACTGGCTAAGTAGCATTACCACTGGCAGATTTGATGCTTTCTGGTGACCTCAAGCTCAGTCCACTCCAACAAATGTCCAATGTAACAAGGTCCGTCGTTTGACTTTGAAACATGCTTCACCACAAGCTGAGTCCTCTATGCTCGGCAACTCAAGTTCACCCTGTTGCTGCGCAGTCTGCGCAAGCGCCATCTCAAACAGACTTTCCCATGCGCAGTCTATGCTTTGGCTTCAGCTGACTTCTGCACACAATTCCAACCAACCGAAGAGTGACATATCTTGGTACTTGATATCTAGTTACTTTCAATTTCGGCGCTTCACACGGCTTGATCCTGTAGTGTTGTTGCAGTATATAACATTATATAATTTAGATAACTTGATTATGCTTTAGTGGCTGCTGAAACCTTTGAATTTCCAGGAGGCCTTGGTCATATTTTGTAATCCTTCTCCTTGAGAGCTTTGGGCCAGCGTTGGGCGATCACTAGCCGCACTTTTTGATGAAACCATGTGTGAAAATCATGAAAGCATAGTTAAAATATGTTAAAATGAAGATATATTTAATATTTTTAAATTTGTGAATATAGTTATCAAATGTGGTCAACAACAAGCATCGTTTCAACTTCTTCAACTGGAGCAATTTCAATAGCTCGCGAAGCGGAGAATAATTCCGCAACTTGTCCCTATGCAGACCTCCCGCAGTTGGCAATAGCTGCCAAGCCTGCCTTAATTTCCCCAAAAAAATCGCCTGCAAAAACACAAAGAAATCCTCTCCCAACAATAATTAAAATAATTAAATTAACTAATAATCATCAATAATCAACACTAGTCAACAAGATATCCAAGAATTTCTTGACGAAACAATCAGTGAATGTTTCACCAAACTGCATCTCTCCCTCTGTGAATGTGTGCGGAACCTCTTCAAGGACTTCTTCTGAATTCCAGGGATGGATCTGATTATCGAACTCCTGCAGATCTCAAGGCACGGGAACTCGGGGACTCGTATTGGATTCATATCGATTATATATATATATATCGATTTATTCATTGCATCCAACAAATCAAAAACATGCGCCCATGGATTCATGTAATATCATGTAAGAATGTAATTGAATGAAGCCTGAAGGTTTCATTCTCCGACATAGCCACCATCAATCATCAAACCACCACTGATAGAACCCCAGGCCGCTCCTCTGACGAGGAGCTCGCACTGTAGAAGCTGTCGCCCGTGGAGGCTGGATCTTGACCTGTCTCATGAGAAACACAGCTGGAGATCTGAAGGAGATTCCAGGGGAGTTCTAAACAAGGCGAAAGGATTCGAAGGATTCTCACGCCAACTACATCCAACTACAAACATGCAAAGGAATATGGAAACTCATGGAAACTCCAGCAGTCACCTGTCTGGCACTGTGTGAGCATGAGACAAATCTCGAGGAAGTACAAGCGGATGAGAAAGTACATGAGACAAATCTTCCACGCATGGATCCGGAATCCCATCTTTTCTCTGTGCCGACAAACCAATTGACAAACCATGACAAACCCATCAGATCCAGCACCTGGAGGTGGAAGGTTTCCATCGTTCTGGCGGGGCCGCGGGGACTTGGGGAGTTGATGGAATTTTGTCTTGTGATGATTTTGATATATTTTGATGATCTATCCTCCTATCCTCAACATTCCTCAACACAAAACGTTGTGTCTAGATGTGTTGGAGGTGCCACCATGATAAGTTGAGCCAGATCATGCAGCAAGATGATGGGATTGGCTTCCATGGTTCCATGGGCTACGAAAATCAGGAAACACCTAGGAAACACCTCGCCGCCCATTGGCCTCCAGGATCCGCAAGTTGGAGGCTTTCTTCTTTCGGCTGTTCCTCCAGCTTTGGCAAATCTCTGGAGCTGGCAATCGCTTCACCCTTCGTAGCTCTGTGCCCCAGCCACAAGATGCCACAAGTTTGAGGCACCAATACTGCCAATACTCATCAGATCAGTCCAGATCTCAGTTGTTTTATGTTGTTTTCCTGAAACACCATCATCACCTCATCCCTTGCCCTTCACCTGAACATCTTTCGCAACTGCTTGGCCGCCAACCTGAGCCAGTTCGGGGCCAACATCCGCCATCCGATTCAAACATATTCAAGACATCACCAGTGGACACTTGAAGCCAGATCCTGGACCACCAGTTCCATCAAATGGCAGAAACAGGGATGAAGAATTGACCGGTGAGGTAAATGTATCAGCTTGGAAATTGGCCACCGGCAAGTTTTGTAGAGGCATGTTGAGGCAGATTGTGCTGCTCAAACCATCAGTGGCCACTTGTCACCAGGATTCCCCACTTCTTCCGCGCTGTTGCTCGCGCTGCTTCTTCTCTCTCACGTTTCTCTTTCTCCTCTCTTAGGTTTCCTGGATGGCAAACTGGCAATGCAGAAGACGCAGGACTGTCATCCTCCAAGGACACCATAGACTTAGCATCCATTTGATCACGAGTGGTGTGGCAAGATTGTGCAAGTCCAAATATTGATCCCCAAATACTCTAAAACGGTCTACTTAGAGCAAACGTTTTTTATTTTTATTTTTCCCTACAGTTCACAATGTTAACATATCCAAAGGCCTTGGACACCATAGCCGGCATTGCCCGCCTCGTCGCAAGGTGAACATTGGAGGCTCGTCTTTGCTGCCTTTGCTGCCTGCAGCACTACCCGAAGTTGCTTCAGATTGATCGGGGACAACCCCCCAACCACACGAAACTGTAGAAAGACTGGAGACTGGTAAGTCGTAAGACGCGAAGTTGGCTTCGGAAATTCTCTGCTTCAAACCTTCTTTGCATCACTGTAACATCGATCCACCAGGTCCAACAAGGGTCGTGCCTACACCTTGCAACTCCAACTCCGCTTCCTCCTCCTCCTTCAGCTGTTGTTCGATGAGCAGCATCAGCTGTCGCTGCTGGCGCCGGAAAGCTGATTGGCTCAGGGCAGGGACATGGCTGGGAATTGACAGGGATACTGTAGGATACTGTATCCGTGGATACTGTGGGAACTTGACCGTTTTCAGAGCAGTGTGTTTGAGAAAGAAACCTGATAAAGGTTGCGCGAATATTGATTGGTCGTGATAGATCTTCATGTGATATTCTGGCTCCTAGAAATGCATATGAAAAAAAACCAACTACCAAACCGTGGACACGTCTCAGTGTTTGGGAGGAGGCACCCCTACGCAATATTACAAAATATCCGGAACAAACAAACCATTTTGCCAAGCCTTTTCTTCTCGTCTCAAGGCTCTGTCCTCGACGTCAGCTTGGCAAAGATGGACTCCGGCAGTCCCAAGTGAACCATCTGACAGCCACAATCCCCATTCTTTACAGGGTCTGTTGACGAGGAACTGCGCACGGCACTTGATAAATAAATGTATCTATAACTACATATATATATACAGTATATATATATAATAAATAACTAACAATTAGTCTATAGTTACAAGATGTTATAAGTATGTAACTAGAAGTATAGTTTAAAAAAAGGTTGCAACGATAGCTGTCTCGTGCGGCGTCCTGACTCCCAGTTGGAAGCCGCAAAGCCCTGACACTGCGGCTGGCAGGGCAGCAGCGAAACTGGAAATTCAAATCCCCAATTTTCATCACGTCTATAGGATTTAAATGCAAACATAGATTTCAATAGGTTTCAATAAATTTGCATATTCAATAGTATTCAATAGTATTCAATAGTATTCAATAGTATATGATAGTATATGATAGTACATGATTATATGATATATTAATAATATGGGCAAAACACCTTTGGAAAAACATGGAATAACCATTCCCAAGCCACAACAATCTCTCCAAAGCTCAGGCACTGTCTGGTGCCTCAAACAAGACCGCTGCATGCGCAGCAGGCTCGCAAACGCCCTCTCAGGCGGACCTGACCGAGGCAGAAACTGATCTCACCATGGGTCCATGGGTGATCATGGGTGTCAAAAATACGGGAAAATCATGGAAAAACATGGAAACACAAGAATACAGATGGGGATACTGGAGTGCCAACCCCCGCTGTTTGCGAAAATTGTTGATGATGTTGATGTGAAATTTCCTCGCCCTTGGGCTCCGTGGCACGTTGTTGCCACCGCTCCCAGGCGAAAGACAGGCGGATGCCCAGGGCGTATAACCTGGCAGGTGAGATCCTCCTGGTCACCAGCGAGATCGATAAAAACATCACCAGCGATATCGGGAAACCATTTCGGGGAACATCAGATTTCTCGTTTACCTGGAGCTGTCGGCACCTGTCTGAATGTTTGCAAGCATAGCCGAAGGCAATGAGCATCAAATTCAAGACCTTAGGTGTGGAGAGGTCGCCGGTGCTCACCCCGCAATCCGATCGACCAGGAGTAAAATGTGAGTCTGGGAGCCATCAAAATATATCAAAATCTCACTGGTGATTCTTGTCTTTGTGGTACGGTCGTAGTTTGAAAACGTTGAACAAGATGAAGACGTTGGATTAGTATTGACAGATGCACCATCCCAAAAGTGTGCAAGCCCTCATAGCATTGCAAAGGACACACCAGCAACACCAGCAATGACAAAAGGCACACGCGACTAAACACACATATGTATGTATAATATGTATATATATATGTATATATATATATATGACATATATATATATAATATCATTTATATATAATCATAAATAATATGGGGATATATTATATACATTTATTTATTTGCACATAGCGGTCCAAACTGAGACTTGCACGAAGACACCGCAAGCACATAGCACCAGCACAATGGTCCATGGCTCTTCCCAGACCTACCAGGTTTTGGCCACGGCTCAAATGACACGATCAAATGACTATTTCAATGACTATCATGATCTTTAATATATTTAATAATGGCCTTTCTTGCCCGTCATTGATCGCTGATTTATGCTGATTTGTTGAGTACTTTTCTGGTCTTCCCTCAACACCCATTGGGCTACAGTGAACCATTGCCACCATTGTGAAACGTCTATGGATTTCAAAGATTTCAAGACATCGCTACCATCGCTACCATTGCCCTAGTCGTGGCCATCGTGGCCCACCGCCGATCCGCCGGTTTGCCTTCACTTCCACCACCTGCTTCTGTCCCGTTTCTGGATCAATCTCCGAGAAAAGGCGGCACGCCCTCAGTTTTGCAGCAGAAAAACGAGGCTTTCTGTGACATCTGTGACATCTGTGTTTTCTGTTTAGTTCTGTTTATGCTTTCCGGCAGCATCCAGTTGTTTATAGTTTGTTGATGGTTGGTTCAAACCCATTCCAAAAATAGTGGGCAATGAGGATGGGGGGGAAAGGGTCGAACTTTTTTGTTCAGAGTATCAGGCGATGTCCTTCTAACATCATTGAGTTGTAAGCCGCCCAGCTGCATCAAGAAGGACACCCAGAAGCGTTTAGGACTGACTGATCTGATTGCTTCCCTTTGGCACCCGCAGGACTTGCTTGGGTTAAACGTCTTGTACAACGTGGTCTTTGGATGATCCTTTGTGTTAGCGGAACAACCTACACAACAAATACGAAGAATATCGAAGAATTATGGATCCTAATAATACGGGGGGAGGTAAAAACCTACTATAATACCATATTGGGGAGAGGATGACAATCCATTTACTAGCTATTTGGGGGTTACCAGGGTACCCAGGGTTTTTACCTGTACCCATGTCTTGATTGTGAGGCATTCCAATTGGGCACTCTGACCATGGAGACATCGGGCAGTGTGAGAATTGCCTCAGTGAGAACGGAAGTCCAAGGTGGGGCTGCATTATATAAACAACCAATTATTGAACACATTGAACTGCGGATTTTGGGTTGGTCCAAGTCTCGGACATGCTCATATGATCTCATATGTCTCATATGTTACGACAAGATAAAATATATAAACAATTATAAACATAGATAAATAAAGAGCCTGCAAACTAATTATCATATATTATCATATATAATCATGCGTCTGATCCCTGTTTCGGCAATTGAACAATGTCAGTCGAATGATACAATGCCATTCCTTTTTTGTCTGGGCTTCCTTGCGGCACAAGTCCAAAGTTGTCACAGAAGACCTGCATGATCCGTAGATACCAGGCCAACCACTGCAACCATCCATTGAGATCATTTCCCATGATTGCTTCAGAAAAAAATAGGAAGAGAACACATTCCTAACACCTTGGGCTCCTGAAAATTCCTAATTTCTCAACTCCAACCTCCTTCTCTCACCTTCAAAATCTTCAAATGGAAGAGGTCCAGCTCTTGACTACGTTACACATGTTACACCACCAAACAATACAGTACGAGGCAGTTCTACAAGTTGCCGCGACAAATCGAGCCTTGAACCGACTGTTGTAGAAATTGCAGCAGGGAGTACCTCAACTGGGAGAGTTCATGGAACCAGGAATGGTTGGTCAGGCGGTAAACTCATGGGTGTCATAAACCGTTCCCAATTTATTGTGTTCTTCGTCTGCTTTGAAGGAAACTAACCAAATGATACAAAATGAACAAAAGCGGCCGGGGAAAACATAAGTCGTTCCATGTCATTCCCTCATTGTGGGTGACAAACGTAGCACGGTGCCAGTGGCGCCTGAACCAAAGCCGACGCCCAGGTTGCTGCCGTCAGGGTAGACGGCCTGCAGGGCCAGGGAAGATCTCAACATATCTCAACATATCTCAACAAGGACGCTGGAAAAATACCGTAGCAATCCACTGCACTTGAAACATTATAAAAATATCACAGAATACTAGAAAGTACTAGAATTCCAACCGCACGTTCTGAAATGACCTTGGAGCATCTGCACGAGTCACAGAAAATAGAAACTGTGAAACCAATTTCCTAAAAGTCAGCTTTGCAGAATGAACCAGAACACCTGAAACGGAGTCTGCGAGAGACCAAAAAGCTGAAACTCAGTTAAAGGCCCAGAAGAATCTTCTGACAAATAAATTGAGTTTTCTTGACATTTTGGGCCTTCCAATTCAGATTTGGACCAAACAACAGCCCAAGGCCACTGAGATATGCGACTCTGGTTCCAGAGACAACTGAGGCTCCACAACTGAGGCTTTATAAACATTATGTTGATTCTCCATGATTTACCATATATAGTTTCTCTCAAGAGCCATTCCTGCAACTTGGCAATCAAAACCATTAAAATTATGTTCATTTATGTTCAATAATCTTTGAAAACATCGATTCGATTCCCAGGGTTTCAATCACACACATCTCTCACGCTCCTGAGTGGCTGCAGGGCCAGCTTCGCAAGCTTCTTTTTCGGATTCAATCTGTCTGCCATCTGTCTGCCACGTTGGGCGTCTGGCATCTAACATCATCTAAGATCAAACTGACTAAACGTCTGTCGATTTTGCCATTCTGTTTCTGTCTCACGTGGCGCTTCCAAGGAAGATAGATGCCTTGCAATCGAGGCATGCCAGCTATGGAAGAAGGTCATTTATGACAGCCCCTCACGTGTCCGACGCAAGGAATTCTTGAAGCGAAGGATGTGACCTGCAGGGGAGAACCACCTTCAGATTTCTAGATTGAACGTGATCGAACAACGTTCATCGACCTTCAATCTTCATGGTCAAAACCCCCAGTGGCCCAGTGGTTGGCCTGGCTTGGCTTCGATGTGTCTCAACATCTCCTCCAAATCTCTGGGCTCAGCGGACAGCAGGTCGTCCAAATCGCTGTAGCCATGCTCTTCGAGCCTCTCTGCATACTCCTGCAACGGAAACACATGCCGTAGAAACATGTAGAAACATGTAGAAACATGTAGAAACATGTAGAAACATGTAGAAACATGTAGAAACTGCGCCGTGTCTCATACATATGTTCATTCTTGTTTGTGGTGTTTGTGAGTCTACAATAGTCTACGTCTATATTAAACTTCGCACTGTGCAGGCTTTTGAAGCATCTTCCTAATAATTATCTTTTTGAAGCCTCTGGAACCCATTATAGGACTCCTATCGACTTTGCTTGGCACTGTCAACTTTCATTCCGTATTTTCCAGCATAGTTGAAATAACATCCGAACCAAGACACCCTTTGCCTCCAGGCCATTTTCTCGAAGCCAACACGAGAATTTCGTCTCAATTTCAGCTTCTAAGCGATACTCTGCCGACTCTGCAGCCTCAGTCACTCACGGCCTCAGACCTGGATTCTTTTGAAACCAAGTATGAACCCAGTGACAGAGCCCAATTTCTCATGAGACACGAAGAGAATGCAGCCAAGCAGCCATACCGGCCATACCATCTTGATCCACATTCTGTGAGGACTGCATGTCGGCAATGAAGTAGCCACATGCAGCACAAAGAGGATCTTCGTTGATTAAGGTACATTGTGGACATTGCCATACGGAGTCATCAATCAGCTGTTCGGTATAATTGGTCCTCATGGGTGCACGTGTCTGATCACACGGCTTGGTTGCGGCCGGCTGCTTCTGGGAACGCTTCTCTTTTCCTGGACATGCGAAGACGAAAAGAACGTTTAAACGTGCCAAATGACGAAAAAAAAAGTGTATTCAACCACTTGGCCAGCCCAACAAAATGTCGTCAATGTCTTCACAAATCTTTTGGAGCAAATACATCAATGATCATCAATGTATAACTGGGAGGTCCCAGTACTTCTTCTATACGGATCATAAGCGAAATCTGCTATGTATTTTTGGACCCACCAGAGGTCTAATCTAGTGGGTTCGAGCTGACCTGAAACGGCCCAAATAATGAGGCCACTGGTCTCAAGAGCTCCTGTGCATCTTGTGTGAGCTGAATGAACTGAAAGAGTGGAAGATCCTAAAACAGTGAGGATGAACTCGACCAAATTGGATCTACTGATTCTACTGTAATCATTTGTAAACAAATACAAGGTCATCAACTTTTTCAGACCCCGCTGACAATACTGACGCGCACGGACAGGTTTTCCCAAAAGGGCATTTTGCCAGGTTCTGCCAGGTTTCCCCAAGAGTTGGACGTGAGCTTTTGAAAGCTGGTCACCAACTCCTGCCCTTGCAATCTGAAGCGCATGAAGCCGACCGCTTGGTTTCCTGCTGGAAAGCTGGAAGGCTTGGATCGTCATGACTGACGTGCTAAGTTTGGGATCATACTGCTGCAAAATCTACTTTAAATTCAAAAACGGTTTCCTCGCCTTAAATCTACTTTTCCCCTCTGATTAAATCTTCAGTCCTCGCCTCGTTACATTCAAAACGGATTTCAGCCCTCGTCCCATTTCTTTCTCGACCGCAAGCCATTCGAACTAGTCCTCTGCCTCCTTTTGGGTTGAACTTTTTTGAATTATCTTTGTCGTCGTTGCAGCAACGCTCTGGGCTCCAGAGGCTTGGGGATGCTGAAAAAACTTTTCAGGGCCTAATTTTTTTTTTCCTGTTTCCGAGATGCCTCTTTTACAAGCGGATTTGCAGGGGCTCGATTCCCCCCAAATTCGACCCCAGAGAAGAGAAGCTGCAGCAGCAGCACCAAGATACCCCGCTACACCTCAAGCTTTAGCAATTTTAGAATCTGGTCGCGCTACCTGGGAAAGGTGAATAAGAACTATTGACCAAAATTTCAGGGTTCCCTAGGGTTCTTATTTCAATTAGCTGGTAGACAGAGTTGAAACCAGCAATCCAGCCCCTGAGGTTCTTAATGCAGTGGGTTCTTAAACAGTGGTTTCACTGTAGAACAAATACGGAAGTCCTGGAACAACCGGGCATGCCACCACAGGGCACTGACTGAAATTACGATAAATAAAAACTTTTCGGGCTCCAGAAGTTTTTTTTTCACGGGGTCTGAATGCACCCTTAATTTTCTATTTTTTTTCACTCTGATGGGAACAAAAAAAACTTTCTGGAGCCTGAAAAGTTTTTTTCACTCGTTACACATGCTTTGAAAGCAATTTCTGCCCACCTAGTTTTCTGAATTTAATTAATTCACCTCGCTTAAATTGCAAAGCTTCACCTCGTACCTCGTCAGCCCTCGCTCTAAATTATGCAGAATACTGCCTCCGTTGTTGGGAATGGTTGTCCATAGTGTAGCAATGAGAGCTGGGAACCACAATGACCCACACCTAATCAAAGACAACAACTTGAGAAGACCACTTTGAAGCTCTGAGATACAAACTCTACTCACGATTTGCTCTTGAATTGTGATGGATGCAGAACCTCTTTGGATCTCTTTGGTATAGCTGCCTATTTGCTACCATCTGCTAGCTACCCTGTGTGCGACTCAAAAACCACACTTGCGATTCCCTGCCAGCTAAGCTTCTGAGAGAATCATATAATTCGGCCTTCCACTCAGCCTAGGCTTGAAAACCGTCCGCTCTGCACCGTCAAATTCTGAACACTCTCCAAAGTGACTAAGCCGTAAAAACACCTGCCAACATTATCATTTCGGCTCCAATCATGAGGAAACGGAGAAACATCTTTAAAAACATGAAAAAATGAAGTGAGGCCAAAGGAACTGGTCCTTGTCTTGTCAAAATACCTTTCAAATCACCTCCCTGATCCAATGGAGGCCCATTGAATTGAAGATCTCCCATCGCATTGCGGATCTTGTAGACCGTCTTCTGCGAAGACCACGTGCCTCTCTGGCCAAAGGCTTAGGCGGCCAAAGCATTCAGCTCGGGACGTCACTTGGAACAGGTGAACCCAAACCTGTAAGAAAGGCGGTCTCTTGGTCTAATTGAACCCAAATTGCATGAACATAAAGCTCGCCCATGAGACAGTTCCCTGCGAAAGTGACATGTTGGCACTGCCCATGTCAAACATGTATATTCTAACATATGTATTCCGTGCTGGTGCTTGTCTTGGAGGAAATATGGAAGAGCCACTTTGCACGGCTTCACTCTAAAAAGGAGGCAGCTAGTGGAATCAGGCGGTTATATGTGGTTTGTTGTTCTGACGAATACAGGAAAACTGTTTCTTCTTTCGCTTTTAAGCATTTTGTGTTGCGCAAAACTTCCAGGCAAAGGCCAGCTGAAAGGTGGCTACATGTCGGAGTACTCCCATGTACTCCCTCCCTGCGCCCTCATGCGCCCTCTACAGTACATACACCCAGTGGGGTGTAGTGCCCGAGACTCCCAGGATCCCCCGGTCGATCCCAGTCGCCGAGTTGCCTACAAGCTCATGATCGCTGACTTGTGTCGACGCCCTGACGTGAGCTATGCCACGGACATGAACACTGGGGCTCAATCTCAGGCGGACCAATGCCATGCAGGAACACCATTTAGAAACTTGGTCGGTTGGGTCCGGTTGGGTTGTTCACACCGCTTCTCTGGGACCAAAAGTATGCTGCTTAACATATCCTTTGATCATCCTTCACCATCCTCCCTATGCACCAGTATAATCGCAAGGTGTCAGGGTGCTGGACAAATAAGCATTCAGGAACATCCGTGTCAATGTCAACCAACTTCGGCCCTTGTTTGACACACATCTCCACCTTCCCTCTCAAAACTTGGCCAAAGAACTCTGGCGGAGCATTCTCCATGTCCCAGACTTGCCAACGCAATCGCTTCGCATCATTCACATGTTGATTCTGAACAGCCTCTTCTTGCTGCCGTTGTCTCCTCAGTTTAGCACAAACAAATTGCAAGTATTAGTAACCTGCAAAAACACAATGTCGTTCCGAGTGACATGCACACGCTTGATCTCTGTGTGCGTGCTTGCTTGCCATACCTTTTAGGTCTTTTTAGTAGAAGATGTAAATGTGCCAATTACACAGAGTGGATGCGTGTTTATCTTTCTCATCTTTGTCGTCTTAGAAGTGTTAGAACTAGACGACGGATGGCCCGAGAGCGTAGAGGAGCAGGGTCTTCTCTTGTTAGTATGGTGACACCATATTAGAAACAATATATTAAAGATGTGTTATATGCAGTCGAGAAGAGGAGTATTAAGACAAAATAGCAGAAGTGCACGACAATAGTTTGCATCGCAAACACTTTTACACACAAAAGCTTCTACACACAGACGCTTTTACATACAGACCCTTTTACGCACAGACCCTTTTACACACAAAGCTTTTACCCACAGAAGCTTTTACATACAGACGCTTTTACACAGACGCTTTTACACACAGACACTTTTACACACAGACACTTTTACACACAGACACATTTAACAAAGAGCCTTTTACACACAGGAGCTTTTACACACAGAAGCATTTACACGCAGACGCTTTATGACGCTTTTACACACAAAAACTTTTACACACAGTCACACAGAAGCTTTTACACATAGACGCTTTGACACACAGGCACTTTTACACACAAACACTTGTACATACAAACACTTTTACAGACAAACACTTTTACACATAGACGCTTTTACACACAGACGCTTTTACACACAGACGCTTTTACACACAGAGACTTTTACACACACAGACGCTTTTACACACAGAAGTTTTTACACACAGACGCTTTTACACACAAACACTTTTACACACAGATGCTTTTACACACAGACGCTTTTACACACAGACGCTTTTACACACAGAGACTTTTACACACACAGACGCTTTTACACACAGACGCTTTTACACACAGTTACACACAAAAGCTTTTACACACAGACGCTTTTACACACTAACGCTTTTACACACAGACGCTTTTACCCACAAACACTTTTACACACAGACGCTTTTACACACACAGACGCGTTTACACGCAAACGCATTTACACACAGACCCTTTTACACACAGACGCTTTTACACACAGAGACTTTTACACACACAGACGCTTTTACACACAGACACGTAAAATCGCAATTTTTCCTCAGTTTTTGACGAGCGACCCTCATTTCGTGCGAAAGGGTTGCTCGGGGACAAGTAAAATCGCAATTTTACCTCAGTTTTCGCCGATCGACCCTCATTTCGTGCGAAAGGGTTCACGTTTCGTGACTCCCCGCCGGCACCACCCTCGGCCTAAAGAGAGAAAGATAAAGAAGGCGAGAGAGAGAAGGGAGAAAGGAGAGAGAGAAAGGAGAGAGAGAAAGGAGAGAGGAAAGGAGAGAGAGTGAGAGAGAGAGAAGATGTGAAGATGAGAAGATGTGAAGATGAGCAGATGTGAAGATGAGAAGGTGTGAGAGAAGATGTGAAGATGAGAAGGTGTGAAGATGAGAAGGTGTGAGAGAAGGTGTGCAGATGAGAAGGTGTGAGAGAAGGTGTGAAGATGAGAAGGTGTGAAGATGAGAAGGTGTGAAGATGAGAAGGTGTGAAGATGAGAAGATGAGATACAGACCCCCACTATTGGAAGAACCCTGCGCTCAGACGCTCTCGGGAAAAAAGTCAGCGTCCCTAGAATTGATCCCAGTGAAGCCATGTTGCAAGGCTTGGAGCCGCTCTTCTTCTTTTTGCAAGCGTGCTTTCTTCTGATCTTCTGCTGCTTGACGCTTTTCCGCTGCTTTGCGGTGCCTTGGGTCTGCCTCCAACCCTCGGACCATCTTCTGCCGCGCTTCCCTCATCGATGAGGAGCTGCCAGCGCCCAAGACATGAGAGCCTCCGGAGAGGGCGAAATTCCGTCCAGCCTCACGCTTCCTCGGCGTCGACTAATAGGAAAAAAACTCGAAACAACAGGAAAAACACTCAGGTTCTGGCTTCTGACTTACCAAGAGTTGAAAAAATCATTTCGCGATATTTCGCAGTATGGGTCATGGCCAGCTTGGTGTGTTTGTGCTTGTGCGCTTGACCCATACCCCTCAATGCAAGTCAAAGTTTCTCTGCAATGAGTTTTGAATATTTCTCCTCCTCTTTCCTTTGAGAACTTTGCACCTCTGCGTGAATGTGAGGCATTGGGCCGCGCATTGAATATCCTCCTTGGTGAACCCACTCTCGACTCAGTCGATTCGCTCCGCTTCTGCGTTGTTCACCATATTCATCTTCAATAAATTCCTCGTTTTGCAGTTGATTTCTTGGACCCGGCCCCGACATTGCAAGTGGATCTGTCGGGAGTTTTTTTCTCCGGGGCAGAGCCACATAGCCTCTCTATGGCAAAGCAAAGTAGATATATAACATCTCAATACATCTCATATCATCATCTCACACCATTTGTTGGGCAAGCCTTTGGAAGTGACCCCATTAAACAGCAGGGAAACAAAGGCGCTTCCACGATAGGAGATCCTCTAAAGTATCAGTATAGTGCGGGTTGATTCGTTACAAGCTCTAACCACTTGCTTATGAGCATCTATTCTTCAATATTCTTCACATTTCTATGAGAAGCTGTAACAAAAAGGTAAAACCATCAGCACATGCCGGAAATCCGCTGACAAATCCATGTTTCGATTTTTTTGGATCACTTGAGGATTTTAGACTCCAATGCACAGTGTCATAGCATGTATATATTATTCGAATATCTCACATGCATATCATTTGTATATCATCTATATATGGTGTATATATTATTTAATTATTTACAATATATTGCACAATCTGTACACTGTCAATCACTCGATCAGTCACATGATGTTCACGCGTATAGGACGAGTCTTTCTGCTACTTGCCAGTCTTCATTCCAACACAACCACTACCATCACTACCACCATCCAAAATCATGTCACATCTACTAGACTCACAAGCTCAGCATAGCTCAGCATAGCTGGCATAGCTGTTGTGATCGTGAAACATCCTGTCCGAGCCTGTGGGATGGCATCATCCTCCAAGGCCTCAGGATCCGTCGCATCCGTCGCATCTGTCGCATCTCGTTTCACTAAGTCATTGAGATTCACTAAGTACGATATAATTCTGACTTGAGAAAAACATAGAAAAACATTGAAAAACCACGACCCAGACTGATAGAATACTTGATCATCATTTCCGCTGATTGAAATCCTTCAGAACCTGGATGTTCTTGCGCTTATAGCTTGAAAATGCTTGAAACCTGGCTTAAGCTTCCTGAAATCTGGGGTGTCCGATCATGTTGCGCGTAGTTGCAGCATCTGAAGGCACCGTTGGCATCGAAAATCTTGAGGCCATTCCTTGGCACGTTCTCCATCGGATTCAATCTGTATCCCTTCACCAAGACATACCAAGACTACGCAAGATATACAGGAAATTACAGGAAGATGTAATGTCATGGCAATTCTGAGCCATATGTGCCAAAACACCAAATTCGTGACCAACAAATCTTTCTGTCCATCTCAAGGAAAACCCGGATCGAAGAACTGGGTGCCCCTTGCAAGCTGGAATCCCGGTTGGACACCACAGGCAGCGCGAAACTCAGAGACCAATTGGATGGTTCCATCATGGACCGTGGATGACCATGGGATCTTGTGCTCACTGCTTCAGTGTTTCTTTACCATTCCACCTGAGAAACCTTGTGTTCCTTTGAAAAGCCATGGAGACACTTGGATGCACAAAAAGTAAACTTCAAGAATCTTGAAAATGTGTTGCATTCGCAGGATATCGCAAGATGCAGTTGGAAGCACTTGCATTTTCCAGTCAGTGTGTATAATATTTTTGCAGTTTTGCCGGGCTGGGAAACCCGTCTTGTTGACGTATGCAATGCCTTCCTCGGTCTGCGTAGCTACCTCAGGAGTTGCAGTGCCAACATCCAGTAGTGATGCAATTATGCAACGCAGCAGCGAAGACCAATGGAAATCTGCTCGAAGGATTGAACATTTTCGTACATGTTCATTCTCCATAATATTCCATCATTAGTATTTGTTGATCCAATGATCCATCATAATTAAATCATCATAATTCATCAATAATTCATCAATAATTCATCATTAGTCATTGTAAATTAGACAATCACATATATATATAATTTTATATAATCATATATACTCATAATTAATCATATAATCTCATCAGAAGTCCATGGTGACCACTCTGTCCCATCCTGCCCATTCTCCGGCCACGCCTGGAGCCGGCAGTCATTGCCGTGGTTGCACGTCCTGTCGGCACTGCAATGACTCTCCAAGATTCTTCAGCTGTTCACAGTACTTCAAGCGCATTACTCTTTAGCTATTCCATCACTAGTAGTAATAACATGTAATGCCACTTCAAAGTGAAGTGAGATATTCCAACTTAAGTGTCTGGAAAGTCCAAAGTACACTTCGAAATGACTGTTGTGCCAGAAAGCAGCACAAGCCGCACAAGCAACACACCCACACACACACACACGCACAAATCTGCTCAGTCCCGTTGGTGAAGTCCGAAAACTGGCACAGGCCCCGAACCCAATCAAGCGCGGACACAAACACGACCTCATCATGCCATCGAAATCTGAATGCACTGCAAGCACAGGAGCTCAGAAGAGCCAAGAAAAATCAAATGAATACTGGATTGGAGGATTCCTCACTCACTGATAGACACAGTGGTATACACAAATGAAAACGAAGATGAATCATTTTGGATCTATAATGATCTATATCTATGGCGAGTCTGCAAGTCGCCCTTGAAACATGGTCGTCTCAGTGACAAACCACTGCCGCAATCACCAAGAACACCTGGCCGAGTGTACTGTACTCCAATAAAGTGTTTCTACAATTTTCGACATATTTACAATACATGTGTACACGCACATACGTAGACGTACACATACATCTCATACAGATATGAGTAGTCAGAAGTATAGATACAGTACATATGTCATATACGTACATCAATAGATATAATAGATATACATGTCTTGTAGTTATGAAGTACATCATTTGTATCTACAGTATATATATATACGTATATATATGTACACATGCATGATGTATCATGGTGTCACATGTAGAGTATCATCATGTACCATTTGAATGGGATGTTCACAAACATCAAGATCACCAGCATGGTCAGAAACACCTGGGTTTGTCAGCCAAGGTCAGGACTGTTAGCACGACAAGTAGCTGAATGGCCTTGGTTGCAGCTGTCGGAATGAAAAAGGGACCTCTTTGCCTTTTCTATCAATTTCCATCACAAGTGTCGCAAATTTGACGTCTCAAATATAATGAAACCCTTTTTTCCCCTTGCAAACAAATACCATCTGGCATCGATGTTGCTGTCCAACTGTCGGATTTTTTTGAATTGGAACTAAACGTTACTACTATATGGACTATGTGGATCTATGTGGACTATATGGTCTATATGGTCTATATGGTCTATATGGAATATAAGGTCTATATGGACTATATGGTCTATATGGTCTATATGGTCTATGTGGACTATGTGGACTATGTGGACTATATGGACTATATGGTCTATATGGTCTATATGGACTATATGGACTATATGGTCTATATGGTCTATATGGTCTATATGGAATATATGGTCTATATGGTCTATATGGTCTATATGGTCTATGTGGACTATGTGGATCTATGTGGACTATGTGGTCTATGTGGACTATATTTATGGACTATATTTATGGACTATATTTATGGACTATATTTATGGACTATATATATGTGGACTATATATGTATATATGGAATATATAAATATATTATGAACTACATATATGGACTCTATATACTATATATTGGACTGTATATATGGACTGTATATATGGACTGTATATATGGACTATATATGTGGTCTATGTGGTCTACATGGACTATTAATATCTGGCATCCATGTACTTGGGCATGATCTCCGCTGAGATGCGGACCACAAGCCAAGCTCTGCGCAAGAAGCCGCTGGTATACTCTGTCTGGGCACCGGAAGTGCTGTCATGGATGTAACAAGACAACTGGTCCTGACCAAAGTCGCCCCCAAAAAATGTCGATTTGTTCCGGGACAGCTCCAAGTTTTGCTGCCAGCTTGAGTGTTGTCAGCTTGATACACTCGGATGACAATGGGATGCCTTCATTCCTCCGAGCTCCTGGCGATATCATCCAGACCCGCCTTCGGCTATGTCCGGCTCAGCTTGCCGGTTGCCCGGTTGCCCGGTTGCCCGGCCCGGTCCGATGAGACATGGAGGGAACGGCAAATCGCCGTGAATTTCTTGATGTCTTTTGATAGGAAATGTATAAACACATTCACATACTGTATCAAAACACCTCTGACTGCAAGACCTCTAAGCATTTTCTGATGGTCTCAAGCCAGAAATCAACCTTTGGGGTCACCCTGATACACCTTTGACAAAACCACAGATCTCACACATCGTCCAGTTGGAAACAGATGCTGTTTCCCTCATGTTGTAGATTCTCCAAGCTTAAGCAACAGCTCAATGGGTCCAGGATCCTAAAATGGAGGTACTGTACCCTATAAGGCAATATTATGGCTCATATTCCCTTACATAGCCCTTACATAGGCCTTATATATGGTAGGTACCTCCAATTTGGGTTCCCGGAATGGCCATTGGCATTGATTTATCTATCGCTCCGTACCTCAAAGAGCTGTGCGATGTGTTTGGCCACCTCTTCGCTGGCCCCGGCGTTCCTTTCGGATCCGCGCAGGAAATTGCATGAATATAGCATATATCCCTGTTGGAGTTCGGACCAAACCTGGGTGTCTGATTCTATAGGGACTAAAACGAAAACCCAAGACTAAGGGGGGGGATTTTCCCTATAGAATAGAAACCCTACCAAGCCAACAGCCCCCTGCCGCTCCTATAAAATGAAAACCCAGCCTCATACTGGCCACTACTTCTAACAAATAATCCACTATAAAATGAAAAACTGAGTCCAAGTGATTAGGAAAAAGACCCCCTATAGAATAGAAACCGCTATTTCCAAGGCCCAAATGTGGTTCAGGTTTGGGCTGGCACCTCAAGCGAAAAAAACTTTGGGCCCATTTTTTAAGAAGAGTGGTTGGATTTTCATTTTAGAAAGAATAAAACGCTGAGTCCCAGTGATCAGGAAAAGACCCCCTAATGAATAGAAGATGTTTTTTCCAAGGCCCAAAATGTGGTTTCACATTTGGATCTGGGCTGGCACCTTTCAAGCAAAAAAATCCTTGGGAACCATTTTTGAGAAGAATGGTTGGATCTCCATTTTAAAG